TACTCTTGTAGAATTCGATGCCAAGGAAATATGAAATTTTGCACAGATCTGATATTTCGAATTCCTTTGAAGTCTTCGATCTTCTTCTTGGAGCTACCTGTTATTAACAAGTTATCGACATAGAAACATAGTATAATCAATTCACTATTTCTTCTTCTTATATATACTCTATGTTCAGTTGTTCACTTCACAAATTCTTTCTCCCTTAGAAAACTATCTATTTTCTTATTCCAAGATCTTGGAGCTTGTTCCAATCCATACATGGTTTTATGTAGACTATACACCTTTCTCTCTTTTCCATCCTTCACAAACCCAACTGATTATGCAACATAAACTTCTTCATTTAAGGGTCCATTTAGGAATGCACACTTCACATCCATCTGACATATGTGCCAACTATTTATTTATGGTAGACCAACAACCAATCTGATTGTTTCGATCCTAACAATAGGTGCAAAGACCTCATTGAAGTTGATTACTTCTTTCTAAAGAAATCCTTTAGCCACAAATCTTTCCTTGTGTCGAGTTACTTCCCCTTTGGGATTCAACTTCAGCTTGTATACCCACTTGACATTAATTACCTTCTTGCCTTAAGGAAATTCGATAAGTGACCAAGTGTTGTTGACTTTGATGGACTTCATTTCCTTATTCATAGCTTTTACCCACTTCGAATCTTTCAATGCTTCAGTTGTATTGGCATGTTCGACATCTGCATAGAAATCATAGTGTACTAGTTCACCTTCATCATCGACCACATCAACTGATGTAATCACACAATCTTACAACCTTGCAGGAATATGTCTTGTTCTCAAAGGTCTTATTGTACCTAGTTGATCTCTAACTTCCTCTTGTCGAACTTCTCTTTCGACTTGAGTTTCTGGTTCTTCAAGTAAGATTCTCATTGAATCTTTCTTGACATTTTTAGTGAAATCCTATTCTTTAAGCTCATCTATGATCACGTCCCTGCTAATCAAAATCTGCTTGTTCATTGGGTCGAACAACTTGTAACCTCCTGTTGAATGATATCCAACTAGGATCATTTGACTCAACTTGTCATTAAGTTTTCTTCTCAACTGATATGGAACATGTCTATGTGTTATAGATCCAAACAATTTCAGATGACTTAAGCTAGGTTTAACACTAGATCAACACTCTTCTGGAATAACTCCTTCTAGCTTTTTCGTCGGACACCTATTCAAAATGTATGTTGTTGTCGACACAACTTCTCCCCAAAACTCTTTAGGTAGATGTTTTCCATTAAAAATACTTCTCATAATGTTCATGATGGTTCAATTCTTTCTTTTTGCAGTTCCATTCTATTGTGCAGTGTAGGGTGGCACCACCTTATGCATAATATCTTCTTTCTCACATAACATGTCGAAGTCTTTTGAGACATACTCTCCACCACCATCAGTTCTCAAAACTTTGAGCTTTCGACCACTTTGTCTTTCGACCAAAGATTTAAACTTGGAAAATACCTCGATCACTAAACTTTTCTTTTTAACCAGGTAAGTCTACAATTTTCGACTGTAATCATCTATGAATGTGACAAAGTATTTATTACCTCCCATCTAATCCACCTGGATTTGTCCATATATATCAGAGTACATGACGTCAAGGATTTCCTACGACTTGCTTCCTGCATCCTTACTGAAGTTATTCTTGTGCTTCTTCGCATGCACACATTCCTCATACACTTCGTTTGGAATGTTGAATTCTGGTAATCCTGAAACCATATTTCTTCTCTTCAAATCTCTGATGTCTCTGAAATTGAGATGGCCCAGTTGATAATTCCATATCCACTCATCTCTGCTAGATACAGTCGAACGACCCTTGTACTCTATCATATTTAGTTCGATCTTGAAGGTTCTATTCTAAGACATAGGAGCCTTTAAGATTAATCATCCTCTTGTGTCGAAGATTCTCATATCTTGTCTTTGATAAACACTATAATTTTTTTCGACCAACTGCCCTATGTTGGGAAAGTTTCTCTTCATGCCTAGTATGTATAACACGTTTGAAATTACTGATCTTTAGCCATCTTTCCTCATAATCAAAACACATCCAATACCTTCAGTTGCTAGAGTATTGTCATTTGCAAATTTTACCATATTCTTCATTGAGGGTTTTAGGTTGACAAACCAATCTTTCCTTCCAGACATGTGCGATAAGCATCCTGAATCCAAGTACCATTGGTTCTTGAATCTCTCTTCATCTCTGGTTGTGGCCATCAACATCATCTCTTCTTCTTAATAATTTATGAACTTTGTATCACTTTCTTGATTCTTTCACTTTTCTGGACAATCACTAGAATAATGACCATACTTCTGACAACTATAACAGTGAATGTGACGCTTGTCAGGTTTTCGACCAACACCTCTTCCTCTACCTCCAGCACCACCTCTTTGGTTGCATTGGTGTATGGGCCTTCTTTGATTCGACACACTTCCTTCCTGCTAGTCTCCTCTACCATTCGAATTGTTGTAGCCTCATCTACCTTTGTTGTCGAACCACTTTCCTTTGCCTTTCTTTTCTCTTTTTGACTGCGCCGGCAAAACCACATCACTCTTTGACTTGCATGCAACTCTCTTTTAGAAATTCTTTTTTCATGAGATTCAAGTATCCCTTGAAGCTTTTCTTTTGTCAATTTCGTTAAATCTTTTGAATCTTATATAGTTACCACCACGTGATCAAACTTCGGAGCCAAAGATCTCAAGATCTTTGAAACAACTGCTCTGATTGTTAATGTTTCTCCATATACCTTGATTTGATTCACTAGTTTCGTTACCCTAGTGAAGAAATCATATATGCTCTCGCTATCTTCCATCTGAAGTAATTCATACGTTCTTTTATGAGTTTGTAACCTCACCTTTTCTGCACCTCCAAAATATTTCTCAAGAATCTCCCAGGCTTATTTTGTAGATTCTACATCACTAACCTTTTCAAAAAATTTTAGACTAAAAAATTGGTGAATTATAAAGAGAGCTTTATAATTCTTCTTCTCCAATTCTTTCTGTTCAGTCTCTTCATCATCTGAAGAATCTTCATCGAGCAGTTCTAACCCATCTTTTACAAGATCCCAAAGATCTTGATAACAAAATATAACCTTCATCTGTTTGCACCAATTCTCATAGTTATCAACTTTCAGAATTGGAAGGGTTGCTGGAAAATTCCCATTCGTATAATTCATCGCCATTGTGATTTTCTTCTTCTTCCCTTGATCGCTCAATCAGAGCTCTTGATACCAGATGTTGGAAATCCACCAAAATCTATGGAGAATTTCTTTAAATCTTGATGAACAAGATTGTTATTACTACACAATAACGATGAAAAGAAAATAAAATTCAAGAAGAAAAGAGATTAGGGTTTTTGCAGAGTTTCTCTCTGCCCACAAACCGCAGAAAATCTTTATTCACTTTGCAACTGCAAAAATTCTGTGAATACAAGTTTATTCTTGTGTAGGAACAATAAACGAGTAGCTTCTCTATAGGAATAGGGAGAGTCGCAAGGGGTATATTTATGTAGAGTATTTGGGGATTTGGGAGCTACGACAGTAACACATATTGTCCCAAGAATGAATGTCTTGCTTATCCCTCTGGCGAGAGCCCCTTATATAGTCCTCTTCCAGCACCATTAAAGATCCTTAATCAAGGTGTGACCATTGGGCTTCATAACAGTGTAACAGTCGGTGTCACCTTGAATGAAGGTGTTGAAATCTATGTAACGCTGGAGTTAATGCACCGGCGACCGTTATGGTCATTAATAAGCCGAGTTGATGACTAGTTGTAGGTAGTTAGATTCCGGTTACTAGTGTCATTCGGGTCGAGAGAGCAAGTCAGTTGCTACCAGGAAATGATGGTAGCCATTTAACACCTTCAACCGAGTTGCACCTCCTTCCGGATATCCCTCACTAATAAGGGCCGATCACTAGTTTTGATCTCCTTTCTGTCGACTTCATAACTCGATGGAGATTAATATTTCTGGGATGTACAAAGTTGTTATGAGTTTGTTACAAAAAATAGGGGTTACTCCCTCTGTTTATAATGAGTTTGCTTTCTCCCTAAGTCGAAAAGTCCAAAATACCTATTTTAGACTTAAATCGAAATCTGTGTGTAACAACCTGCTTACAACACTTCGTCAGCTAACAACTCGACATACTAAGCTTTTTGACACACCTTGTTCGAGCAACAATCTACTTCGACACAAATAATTACACTTTCAACAAAGAACAACTTAAAGATTGAGTTCTATTGGGTTAGAAAGTTACTGACTTGAAAGGGAGAAACCCACAACTCAATAAGCCCAAATGTGTTATGAAAAGGCTAAAAAAACAAAACAAACGGACACAATAAAATAGGTCCCAACTCATATACATCACGAACCAACCGCTTCAATACATGATCAATGAGTTGTCACTGAAAATATCAATTTTGATCAAGACCGCTAAAGAAACTACTCCCCAAATTAAGGAGGAAACTTCTTCCCCTACTTCCACAAACTCGTTAGAAAGTTGGGAGAAGATGGTTTTTTTTTTTTGATCCGGCGTATTAATATTTCAATCTCTAAAATCGGGAGCACTCATTCAATTTTCACCTAATCAAACAAATATGAATTCTCATGCAATCGCTTTCGTGAGAAATGTTATCTCTATTATATTTTGTGTAAGTACAAATAAAATAAAAATAAAAAGGTAATCAATATAATGTATAAACATCGTGCAATTATGCCGTCCAAATCCAATGAATAATTTTGTTGGTATTTAAGTGGCCGTCCTAACACCACACTTCTCCCAAATGTTGTATGAAACAAAAAGCATATAGTATAATCATCAACGGCTATTAAATAAATTAAACATTTTTAAATTCGAAATAAGAAAACTTTGTCTAGCCGGCTATTTGGACAAATGAAAATTACTTTTTAATGAATCCTCCTCTCTTATAAGAACCATTAAGCTGCATCATATCTCAGCACATCAAAAGGTAAACCAAGAAGAAGAAAACATGTCGAGTTGCAAGGGTAATTAATTATAAGCATATACAGTAATATATTTTCTTTAAATCACTATATATTAAGTAATTAATTATTCAGTGTTATTGAATGTATTAATTGTAGGTAAAAAGTCATGGCCAGAATTGGTTGGAATCAATGGAGAAGCAGCAGTACAAATAATCATGAGTGAAAATTCGAGAGTGACTGCAAGAACTTTACCAGAAGATTCAGTAGTTACCACTGATTTCAGGTGTGACAGAGTTCGTGTCTTTGTTGATAAACAAGATGCTGTAGCTCGAGTGCCCAATATTGGTTAATCCAATTACGAAGCAATTAAGTTTGAATAATGACTGCTTTGTTCTTTGTTTTTCAATTTCGAAGTTTGTGTTTCTTATTATGGCATCATAATGTGACGTGATGTCTAATTTAAACACTAATAAGATTATAAGTTTTGTTGTTCATCTACATGGTGACTTTATGAAGTTAAACTTAAAAAATATGTGCTAGTTTTAATATACTTTTTGGCTGATTAAAAAAAAACTTTAAAAAAAAACTCATAAAAAATTATTTATTATTTTAAATCCAAACCAATCTCTTTAAATCCAAACCGAATCATACAAAAATGTTAAACCTCCATCATTAAAGGTTGACTTAAAGTCAAACCTATATTTTATGCAAGAAAAATTATTCTGACTTTGTGAATGAGGGATTTAATGAAGAAATTCAATATACCATAAATTTACTAGAAACAAAGCATCAAAACAAAAGATAAATTGATCTTATACATGCGTAATTTCACATGTATACCGTTAATATACGAGAATTTATTTGTATACCTAGTGCACTTTATCAATACTTATGACGAAATTTTTAAAATACTTTTAAAATTCAGAAGTGCGTCTCTGAACGGACCACTAACGTGAATAATTAAATTTACTTCAGATATGTATATCTGAAATCACCTATTAGACATTTTCGGAAATGCATATCCAAAAGTATCTATGGAAGAACAAAAATTCAACATAGTTCATAACATTCATTCAACATAGTTCAAACAAGTTACATAAATAGTTATGCAGAAAATTAAAGTTACATATTATTATAACGGGTAGTTGAGGACGTCGCAACATCTTGATAACATCTTCGGTCGATCTTTGAAACTTCACATCCATCTCAATCAGACCTTTAGAAGAGTATTATTGAAATATACTCCACATAACCTCTAAATCGTTGTCGTTCTTGAGCTCAAACAGGGTGAACTATATGTTTCGTTCAGTGTCAATCAAAGGTGAACGATACTCAAGCTTGACCATCTTCAATTTTCTGGATATTGCAAGAGAGAATGCAGTATGGTAATGAGCTCGATGAACGACATGTCATGCGAGAACCTGAATTAAAGTGGCGACTGCACACCACTGAAGTAGACAAAAGCAAAGTGTGGATATGTTTGTGTCATTTCTGATTGTGGTATGTGATTGATAAACAAATGAAATGGAAGACCTAATTTATAGACTTTTGCAGCAATATGGACTAAAGAAATCTTATCAGGACATATTTCAGAAGTGCGCTTCCAAATTCTCCCTATTTTTTTTAATCAAAAATAGGATTTTTTAGATATACACATCCACAGACACCATGATTTTTTTATAAAAATAAGAGGTGAATTCGGAAGTTCATATCCGAAATAAGCCATGTGTTATTTTTTTTTAATTGAAGGTTAATTCAGAAGTGCACTTCTGAATTATGTAGAACCAGAACTCATAATCATTATTATGTACAAAAGTGCATGAAAAAATAAACAATTGTAACACTAAATATAAATAATATGTTATATATGTATTGAAACATATAGATTTCACAATGCGTACGACAATACATTCAAAAAATGGTTCGATTAAACATTCAAAAAATAATTCGACTACTTTCTAAAATGCACCGAATGAATTGTCACCGCTTAAATCTAAAAATAGTTCTTTCTTCGACTTCTCCCTATTTGATTCTCTCTCAAGTTCCATCAAATTGGTGAACTCTACCATCCTATCCAAAAACTCATCCGGTCAAGTTTCCGCCTCTTTTTCATGATGTGTGATCCATTCCACGAAGGTAGCCGATATAGGACAATCCAATTTCAAATAAACCTGAACAAAATGGTGTGTCTAAGGTACCTAATACACATGATGCGGCCGGATGGATCTTCAGGCGAGGGAGTGTGAAGAGGAAAAAATCTCTTCGAAAAACCATACATCGTCAAGTCGATACACACCCTCTTGTATGCACTTGCTATAAGATGACCAATTTCAGGGAAGCTCATCCACTTAGAAACTAGTGCACGAACGGTAAGACTTGGAGCAAGAGCATGATGAACTTTATTAAATTTATCGATAGTTACATATAGGTGAGTGTAGAGTTCACTATGCACCGTAAACTCCAAAATAATGCGGTTGACGAAAGAAACACAGTGTCAACCGCATCCATAAGCGCGTTATCTCGGTCAGTAATATTGACCTTAGGAATATTTTGTGGATCCTTCAACAAAGTCATGCATATACCCAACGCCCAAGTGACGTTGTCTTTTTTCTCACTTCCACGAATCCAATCGAAAATGTATTATCCGTAGATGTAAAAGCGACAATTTATAGAAGTGGAAGTCTATACTTGTTGGTCTTGAACGTTGAATCAATCATAAGGATGGTTGGAAATATGTTAAATAACTTGATACTTTCTGGATGAGTCCAAAAAATATCATGAATATTAACATTGTCCTCACAAACTCTGTACCTGGAAACGTAGTGGTTATCGTCTAAACATTTCAATAAATGTTACATTTTGGACCATGGACCCCTTTGTGAAATGTGTTGTTTATAACTATGATTGTAAGCCGACTTGATATTTAAGACACATTGCAGTTTATTCTGTTTCAAGCCAGAAAGTATGTTTCTCGATGCAACTTTGATGAACGACAATTCAGAAATAAATTCCTTTTCTATTGTCTTAAGCCGACATGCAATTGGATATCCGTGTAGCTTGGTGTCCAACGCATGATTATGCATACCGGACATGATATTATACCGCCATAAATCATCCACCCTACAATAACCGCATAATTTAAATGGACTCACATTTCCTCGATCATGTGTCATCATATTTTATCTTCCAAATTTTTGGAACATATTTCCCACTTCTCCCACATGTCATCGCAACAAATGGTTTCCTTTTACTAGTCACATTGTCGGACCTTTTTAATCACAATGCCGAACCCAAGTTTGCTAGCTTCCATTCAAATCCATTCAATCATATGTTGACGAATAGTGAAACTTTTATCGGTTTGAAATTGGTGTGCATAATTGATTGCAACATCCTTCATTTTATCAATGTCCTTCACCTCAACCGGCTTATCATCTTTATTGACCTTGTTTAAAACCTTTACGAGAGCTTTGACAATATTATCGGGGTGCATCATACCTAACATGTTAAAAAAATGAATTCTGTTAAAACAAAACTCTAGTTTTGAAACAGACACTTTTTCGGATATGCACTTCCGAATTATGGTAGGTTGAATTCAGAAGTGCATATCTGAAGCGATGTTGTTTTCATCTTTAATAAATTAGCCTCAATGCAGGAAATGTGTAAAGAAATAACATAAGTTTACCTCAAATTGCAGCTTTCTATGTTCTCTTTTCTATACTCAAACACTTGAAATTTGATTTGGAGACGAAAAATCCATTGAAAATGATTGAAGGTTTATAAGGGTTTTGTTTATGGAGGAATGGAAAATGAATGAAATAGTTGGAATAGGTGACCATGCAGTATTTTGATATGGAAAAGGTAGTTTCAGAGATGCACAATCTGAAATAACCTACTAGCATGTTTCGCATGTGTAACTCCGAAACTACTTCAAAAAGTTCAAATCTAATGTTTATGTTATTCAACGTGGAAAAAGGGTGTCTTCGGAGATGTACTTCCGAAGCATAGGTGTGTCCGGAAGTGCATCACCGAAGGGTATTTTGGGTTTTCAAGGGTGATTTTCACCACTACTAGGTGTAAAGAGAAACTCACTTAATCTATTTCTATTCATGAATTTTGGATGAACCAATATAATTTATTTCCAAACTTTGACCATTCTTAACACGAACTTTGTATGTCCTACAAAAGGTTTTATTGTGCAAGTAAAATTCATAAGTTAAAGTTTATTAGAATCACATGAGTATGCAAATTGGGCTTGGGATTCAAGTTCATAGGGGAGTGAATATTCTGGTGTATAAGCACATGGTTGATGTGTGGTATTTATTATAGTCTTATCTTGAGATCCTGATACAAATGCTTTATGACTTTCATGCTTTGTTGGTTGATTTCTAGATGAACTTGGATAAGAATTTGGAGGCACAAATGATTCATCATACCTATGCATGTAATCAGTAATAAAATGATCATATTTTCCAAATAGTTGACGAATATGATGATTATCAGTGTGTAACACCTCTTCCACGACTATGACCGCGACTCGATCGACCTCAACCATGAGAACCTGAGAAAACTCCATGGGAACTACCTAATTCTTGACTTTTGTGAGCAAAATTTGTATATATTATTGGCACAACTATTTCTTGCTTGAATTTGTCCTGTTGAGTATCTTGAACGTAAAGGAGAGCTTCCATGTCACAAAGTGTTTGTGTCTCAATACTTCTATACATCTTCATCACAAATGGATTGTACTCTTCATGAAGACCATATACAAATGAATCAATTTGATGTTGTTCTGAAATAGAATCTCCAACAACAAAGAGAGAATTAAAAATAAATTTTATTCTGAACAAAACACTCAAATTATCAAACTAATTCCTTTCTTTGTTGATTTCAACTACAAATGAATCGGGGAACCCTAAAATTCATTTGAGATTTGAAGTATTTGTGAAGTTTATCCCAAACTTCAAATGCATGTTTACGCGAGAGAACCCTAGGAAATATAGATTCATAGTCAGTTGATAATAACCATATGAATAAAGCATGGTCTTGAACAATCTATGATTCAAATTCATCAGATACATTACCTTCTTGACAATCATGACCAGTCTTGAAATTTGGCGGAATTTGGCGATTCACCATAAATTTATGCATTTTCTATGTGAGAATCACCCTTTCAACTTCTTGATTCTATAGAAGATATTTGTTATCTTGCATTTTTATCGATAATTTTGGTCCATATGAATTATTGGGGTTCAATGTGGTGAAGTTAGATGAAATAGCTTGTGACTGAACTTGATCTTTGTGTTAATTGTATCTTTTTCTTGCTGTTGAAGTAACATTTTTGTTTCTCTAT